CAGTAGAAAGGGCATATGTTTTGTTATACAGAAAATCTAAAGCAGGGTCAAGAGTTTAAGTAAGAGATGGCCAGAACAGGAAAGAAAGAGCTCGTCACTGCTAAACTCCTTAATACTAGAAGTTGCTATTTTAGTTACAAGACCCACTGATCTAACTGGCATTTGTAAAATACAAACAAGCCATGAATAATGTTTTTTTCCGCTCCCTTTTTTTGGTTGTTGTTTTTGTTCGTTTGGTTTGTTTTAGGTTTTGTTTTGGCTTTCGGTTAGTTTTTGGCTTTTGTTTCCTTGCTGGTTTTTTTTGTTTGTTTGGTCGGGTATTTTTTAATTAAAATTGACTGGTTTACAGTTATTATCAAATAACATTTCAACTTTTCCATTCTGAGAAAAGCACAACAGAATGACCAGGCAATGACAAACAGTCAATTACTGGTATGCTTTAAAGCTGAAGAGGGAGGAATTTCCCACACTTCTAACCAGAACAAACCTTTTTTTGTTTTAAAAGGACAAGCAGAAAAGTGAGCTAAGGGTGAAGACAGATTGTTGAAACAAAGTTAAATGACCATGTTGCACATGCAGACTACAAAGCAATATTAGATGCAGGTTAATGAAACATTCAAGATAGTGAAGTTCACTGCAGAGACATTTAACACTTTTAAAAATGTTTTTCTTACAGAACATAGTGAAAGTATCAATGATAATTCTGAGGAAACTTCCAAGTCCATGATATTCCACATCTTTGTAACTGGATGCCCAGAACCTCTACTTGAGTGACCAGCCATTCTCTTTAACTTTTCACTGGATAGCCCAAAGGTTTAAAAATGACTGAATCCAGGAGGCAATCAAGGTATTATAAATATCCCTCTCCAACTTCTTCCATGGCTTAGTTCTATAAAAATTAAATTTTATAAACAACTTTATGCACAGCTGTCAGTCATCATTCTAACTTGTTTTCAAAATATGGATCAAGCAAGACATAAAGACACAAACCAAAGTAAAGATATTCACTGAAGAATGAAATCTCAATTTAAGAATGAAAACCTAACAAAAAATTAAAAAAAAAAAAATCTAAGTTACAAACACAGAATTATAAATTTTTGTGTCATTCTACTCTGTCAGAGTCTGGTGTAAAAACCAAAAACACAAAAACCTCCACATTACTCCCAAAAGATCTAAGACTAAAGATATCATTTCTTTAAGCACATGCAGAATCATAGAGATGCCACTGTTCTTGCACTAAGTCAAGAACAAGACTCTTGAGCAATTATCTTTATAAAATGGAGTACAGCAGCACATTTTCCTTGAAAAGATTAGGACACCAAGGGGAACCAGAGAAATTGGGAGAATGTGTGTTAACAGCCTTTCTAATTAATACTCAAACTATTTTTCACTCACCCCCATAATCAAGAACTGCTTTTCAAAGTAAAAACACACGCTAATAAGCTCAAATTAGCATCCTAACAAGTGTCTGAAAATGGTGACAAAACCAGAACTGCCCAACTAAGTAGCCACACTATGCTAAAGCAGTGACTCACAGGGAATAACTACTTAATTTCAAGAGAAATTTTCACTTCACATTTTCAATCAAAGTGATTGAGGGTGTCAAAATCTTTATCTCTTCACTAGTGTTACCACGAGCAATAGAGCAGAGGGCTTGCTTACAGGCATTTAACGAGAGGAAGCCTTCCTTCTCCTGCAAACATCTTTTATGAGAATGAGCACCAGCAAGCCTTTAACATTTGAAGGTGCTACAGTAGAACATGAGAAAAATGAAGAGAACGAAACTTATCTAAACAGCTGAACTGCACAAAAATCATTCTTTTTAACTCCTATTACCTCATCATAAGTTTTGTGAACGTGCAATCTTGGTGCGACTGTCTGCAGACGTATTTTTCTACCAGAGATGACCTGGGGCAAAAGAAGTTAGTTTACCTGGATTCTACTGCTTCCTACCCTTTGTTTGCTGATACACTAGGGTGGGTTTTTTCCATTTTCTGCATAGTTGGCCTACTCTGAACTAAATGTGCAGGAACAATATAGCGATGGCTTCCCATAGCTGCAGTTCCAAAACTGTGCTAACCACTGCACCCACTTAAGCAGAATTTCTCAGGGTATTAAGGACTGATATATTAAAAAAAAAAATCTTGGCTCCAAAAATAATAATACAAAGACTTCGGTACTCCCTATACCTTCCATTTTTTGGTGATAGCACTAAAGACACTGTTTCTCTGTACTGAGTTAAAGCAAGTGCATAAGTATAACACTCCTCTGAAGAACACCCTTCAAAGAACAATTAGAAAGAAAAAGACAAAAAGGCAGGAAGAGAACTGAAAACAGGAGTCTTCAAAACAGCAGAGTATGAAGCCTCTCTTCCCATTACCCAAGGAATTCAGTAAAAAGAACCTCACAAATAGCTACGAAAAAGACAGAAGCTGCAAGATAATGTCAGACAACCTTTAGCACGTTTGAATTTTCACCATGGATATTTTTTTATAAATGCTACAATACTAACTCCACAAATACCTAGGATTGGTCATCTGATAGGTTTGTTTTTTGGCGTTTTTTTCACTTCTCTTACCTGGGGGAGTGGGGGAAGTGGGGAAGAACACACTTCTTGCACATTCTTTTTAAAAATACACAAGTATCTGAAGAGAACCTAATCATCAAACCTCCTTTGATTCCAACATATAAAAAGAAAAGGCCCTATCATACCTTATACAAACAAGACATAAAATAATGAATTTTAATTCTTCTATTTAGGTATGCCCAAGTAGTACAGAAAACTATTAAGTTGTCAGCTACTAAACCACCCTTTGAAATATAAAATAAAGTCATGCTAAGAGATGCATTTCTCAAAAATGAATTAACTTAAAAGGTATTTACTGTTAACATGAAATTAAATCTTGAAATTTGTAGTGAAAACTAAACAGTTATGGAAGCAGACAACATAAAATCACTGTGCATGCCACAATTTCAATACACACCACTAGTGCCGTAATGGCTAAAGAATAGAAAAGAAAAAAGCATATGAACTCCTATCATTAAACATCAAACTACAGTAACTCATTTTTTAGCAGAGAAATCACTTGCTGTTAGGGCAGTCTGACCCAGAGAAGAATCCCATAAAGTAATAGGTCTTCAAACACAGCATATGTACTAATAAAATCCTCCCAAACAGAAGGAGCTATGCATTCAATACTTAAAAAGTTACCCTAATATAAAATATAGCTTACTATATGGTTTACTGTATAAGCTTACTATACAGTTTTCTTTACTGCAAAGACTTAACTCTGGAAAGAAAATTCCTTAAGTGGGAATTCAATTTTCTAGTTTCTGTATCAACAAAATAATTTCAGTCTGCGTAGTGGTGTTCATTTTTAGTTCATATTAGAAAAAATATTTTTTACATTCATAACTTTTATCAGTGTCATGAAACTTCAAAATTTATAATTTCTTTTGTAATGCAGAAATTATTATCAGATATTGTAATCAGAAATTACAATTATAAATTGTAATCAGATATTATTAAATTTAAATGAGATTAAATAATATTCCTATGCAGTTATTTAAAAATAATAAAAATAAATTTTCATCTCTGACCTTTTAATGTCACATTTGAAGTATAAGGTTTAAATGCGTGATAAGCTTATAATAGAAACATTTCCATGTACTGGCAGAATTCCCAGCTATATCAAGCTGCATAAAACAGAGATGTAACAAAGCAGCAGAATGTTCCTGGCTACCACCCTGGCAATCTGAATCCAGCCAATAGGACCCACAAGAAATGGATAGCCCCCTTCTATACATACATAACAGATAGAGAAAGATTAGGATGATAACTATATGAAGCGTTACCTTATCCACCCCTCATAATTAACACTCAACCTGTGGCTCTGAAGCCATTCAGGGCACTGGAGGTTCTTTGGAGTGCCTCTCACATTCACACCACTGCAAACTGGTTCAGTAATTTTGATTACATGGGTTTTCTTTAAACCATGACGGAATTCAACAAATGAACACACACTCTCCAAAGACTCTCTTATTCCTCCAGATATAAGTAGGAAAAATAATCTGATGATAAACTGACTTTTACGGAGTATGAATTTCAAATAGCAAACCATAACATCCTAAATACTACTGATAACTTCTATTATTTTGATACATTCCACTTTGTCCTCTGCTCAAGCTATTATTTACTCTGATGGGTTTTTTGTTGTTTTATTAATTTGTTTCATTTGTCAGCTTTGTGTGCTCAGAATAGGTCTACATTTGAACAAAACAATGAAAGAAAACTACACTTTCTAACATCAGGTACACAAGAATTGCCTATCTAATGCCTGAGTGTGAAGTGGAAGATGGCAGTGCTTTAAAAGATGTAGGTAGAAGAGCAATATCATGAAGTATGTCTAGTGATTGAAATTTCCCTTTGAGGATACACTGTGAGCAGAAAGACATTCTCACAAATTAAAAGGAATAGAAGCCTAAACTCAGTGTTGCAATGTCAAAGAAGAAAAATTCATGTCATGTACAATTTCTGAAGGGCAAAGAAAATGAACAGACTTGTGGAGAATTCAGAATAGGGGAAAGTACAAAGGCATGTTCAAAGTCATTGTAAAGTGGGCCTGGCTTAAAATGCTAACATAAAAAATGTTTTAACTCTTGAAATATCCTAGGTACTATACCTGATAAATTTATTAATAATCACCACCATCTTTCAACAGTCGATACAGCAGCAAACACCTAATTTCAAAATCATTCTGTAAGTAATTAAATGCTTTCCACTTACATTGCTACATCAGCAGAAAAAGAACAAAAATTACTATAAGGTGCACATCCAATCCTACAACTTGCATTAAGAAAAAAAAATCACAATTAAATCAATTTAAGTTCTCCAGTTAGAAAAACAAAAACCAGAAATACTGTTTTGATATAAAAAAAAAAGTCAAACTTGAACATGTCAACTGAATTAAATAGATCACTCCATCTGTATTTGTACTTGCCTAGCAATACTTTAGCATCTTCCACATCAAAATCTCCATCTCCATCAGCGTCATAAATCCCAAGCTTGCCTAGGAGTGCAAAGAGAGGAGGAAAAGACAAATCAGCCATTTGTTTCCAGCACAATGTTTTCAATGCGCAGCGACTAACTATTAATGCTAGATTGTTACTATAAGTTTTTTAGCAATTTATATGTACACATAACCACATTTTAAATTTCCTGGAAAATACTACAAATATTTCAAGCTCCTTTTCGTATCTCCTAGATTTGAAACTGAACACAAGTTTTTTTCCTGCACGCTCTGTAATTACATACTTGACATGAACCTGCTTTGCTTAGAATAAAATTTAAGCTCACAGGGAATGTTCATCATGTTTGAGAGAAAATAAACAATACAACAAAAATCAGCATTTGTTTTCTGATTACGTGCTTCCTGAAATTCTAAATTCTCAGAAAAGACATACATATATATAAGTACAAAATTTTTAGTGCCAAGTTAATAGAAAGTAGGCAGTCCACCTTCCAGACAAAAGAAAACATTCATAAATTTTATCGACAATTGTCTAACCTTCCATGCAGACCAAAAAAGTTGTCCATTCTTTCACACATGACTAATAAATCAGATTTATCACTTTTAGTTTTAAAACTGCAGCTCTGCCAGCCCTAGGTATATGTAAAAGAGAACTCAGATTCTACTAGAAGAGAATTTTCAGCATAGAATTGTGTTATCCAGGATTTGAAGTGTCCTGGGATCATCAAGTGATAGAGATGTATCTAATTATAGGTTTGACAAAATTCAGACATAACTTTTAACAGGATTAAAACTCTGCACAGTTTGCAAAGGAACTCTGTGTCCTTGTAGTTTGACAATATATTACACTCATTATTCTCTAAATGGAGACAGAACTTTATTGCTAACAAAATAAATGAAATATAGTTCTTAATACGGTACTTAGAAAATTAGAAAACAGAAAAAATTCAGACTTGGGTCTAGAATAGTCAAAAATACATCTATCAACATTGTATGGAAGCAATCCACTAAAAAGTATTTTTGTCAGTTTATGGTTAAACACAGTAGACTGGTGAAAAAATGTAATTCTCTAGAAATAAGAATAGTATCATCTTCAAAAGCATAAAGAATGAGACAGATGAGAAATGACTGAGTTTCATGTCACAATAGAAGAATAGTAATTCTCAAAAAAATTAAAAACATAAAATAAATTAAAACTTTCAGCCAAGGGACTGTAAAGCAAGCTTATTTCTCCAATATCCTACCTTGTAGGACCTCTGACAAGTTATAACGGAAATCCTTTGCTTTGGCTGCATGTGTGGTAAAAATATAAAAACCATTATTTGCATTACTAGACCCAATTTAGTTGCAAACCAGAAGCTTCTCTTTAAAAAGTGGTCCAGATCAAAAAAAATCACATTCCAACAGATTTCTTAATTTTGTAGCACCACCAGTTGCAATAGTGCATGTTAAACCCTACAACATCAAGTACAATAGCCGCACCTACAGACATACATCTTGAAATTGGAGACATTAATTTGCACCCTTAAATATTATATTAACAATACTCTCTTAAAATTGTGATATTGAGATACCATTATCACCGTTATAAGCTTAAAACTGAGGTCACTGAAATCCTCACCCATGAGAGGATGACTGATTCGTTATCCTGACCCTACAGGTATCACAGTCCATCAAAGGAGGAATAACATTAGCTGCCCAATTTCAATCACTGCTGCAAGTCTCTGAGAGGTTATATTCAAACAATGCATATTTAGCTCACCTCTCAAATGAACTACACTATACATGTTACTGAAGAAATACTGAAGGATGATGCTTTTTCAGTCTTATGAGAATCCCCTTTTAACATCATAGCAGCGTTCAGCATTGAAACACAGTTTTTGAAATACTTTGCTTATTCTCATCATGTAGATCATTTGCAAACACTGTAGTAGGCAAATCATCTATCTAAACACTTAAAATGGCCTTCATTTAATGAATATCATAATATTACTAGAAGAATCTTAAGATTTAAAATTCTTACCTAGAACTTCTTCATAATCTACAAGTTCAAACCAGACAACTGCCACTGATGTCCAAACTCCCAGCAAAGCAATTACCATAAACCAGGTGAAAAATGAGCTTCCAGAGAGGCCTTCTTTCTTTCCATTCTTGCTTCCTCCATGCTTAGTCTCTGTTAAAATAAGACAAACAAGGAGGAAAAATGGATTTGTTGTAAGAGTTAAATTATTATTGAGTATATAATTATAAAACTTGTTTTTTATGACTATGCAGAATACAAGACATTTGAGCAACAGTTTTTTGGTGGTGTTCTGTTGTTGTGGTGGGGTTTGTTAGGGTTTTCTTCAGTTTGTTTTTAAACTTCACCACCCTTACTTGCTTTTCATACTGCTGGGGATTACCGTGGGAAGTTTGATGGTTATCTAAGCAAAAGCCTCAAAAGCAACCGAACACCAAATGCCCCCATCTAATTTGTCTTACAACTTAGCCAGAAATCCCGCCTTGCTTTCCCCTCCCCCCTTCCTTGTGTATTTACACAGAGCTTAACATTTTTCAGATGCTTTGCATTTGTGCCCGCAGTTCCCAGGCTGCCACCAGAGGACACCATGGCCAGCAGAAAAGCTGCTCAAGAGAAGCGTTTCTCCTGAATCAAGTTTCAGCAGTACTCGAAATAGCTCAAATAACCAACTTGACGATTCAAATAGCCTAAGAAAGCTCAAAAATCTGAACCATATTAAGGGTAAGATTCCAAGTTCAGACAGACACTTAACCAACTAAAAACATCTTCCCTATAGCTTAGAATCAAACACAGATTCACTCCATGCTAAATAACTTTAGACTTCCACTCCCATGGAACATACAAGTAAAAGGATGACATAGAAACATAACACAAATCACAATTTCACTAATAACTGCACATACGGAAAGTAAATATATATAAAAAAACACAAAAGTTATAAACAAACCACTAGATAAAGACAGACCTCGACCTGGATGTGGGTAGCAGGTTTCAAATGGGCTTTGCCACTAGTAATAATATAAATTGCTTGGTCTGTTTTTTTAGGATCATTTTCACAAAAGAGAGATACATATAGTAAATAAATATGCAACCAAAAAGATGCCTGTGGCCTTTCTCCAAAGCTCAAGGTCTGCTCTTCTGCCTCCTGATATTACTGCTACAAAGCTGGCACTTGGCTGCAGTTTCACGTCCATCACTCTATTCCACTTCATTCTGTTCTAAGAACCAACATTTGCCAGTTCAGCCACATGCAGTTCCAGTTATTCAAGCAAAATTATTTCTTAACGTATTTTGCAGGACTCGAGGAACTTTGTCATGAATATTGTGATAATATAATAAGTAGTTAACTTTTTCATACTAATTGAAAGTAATGTTTGATGCATTTACCAGCACTGATCACAGAAAAAGACAAAAAATACTCTCAACAGCTAAATATCAATGCAATTGTTTTTTATAATAAAATGGAGTAGGTCTGAAAGATAAGTAATGAGAGACTGGTAACTGACTTATTTCTGTAACAGATACTATATATAAGTCCTTTCAGACCCTGCTTGCCATCAGGTTTACAGCTGTAATAAACTGCCCTTTTATTATATTCATTGTGCTACATACCGAGTTCAAACCAATAAAATCTCCACTAACACACGTCAACTCTTACTCAGCTCAGGGTTTTATTGAAGAAAACAATTCTTTTATCGAGACTACACCCTTCAAAGATCAAATACCAACTATTTAGTTTCTTTTCAACATTAAACACAAGTGTCCAATAATATTCAGAGAGAAATTGAGACAACTTAGGCATATATCACTTGCTACTGCAGAGTCCCCTAATTAAATATGTGCAAGGTCCATATACTCAGCTCATTTTAACATCTCTCTTGTGGGAAATGCACAGGTAGCCTGGAAATAGAGCAAAAAACAAGCACCGTGTACCAGTACATTCAGAAATATGCTCAACTGTATATGAATTTCCTTGAAGCATTCTTGAGCTGGAAATGTTAATATTCAGAAAGTAACAGTTATAGTATGAAACAGTAGGGTTTCACTACACCTGTGTTCCAAGGCAGTCAATGAAAGCGTCACATATATTTAAAATTAAACCCCAAGGCTAAAAACACTTTAAAGGATTCCATGTTACAACTTTGTTCTATAGCAAATAGGAAAGAGGATCTTACTGCGTTTCACACTCAGTTATCTCACTGTTTTCTATTGTTTACTGCTAGTTGCCTCTGAAGGAAGGAGCTTTACTTGTTAGAAGAACAGGAAAATGAAAGAAAAGACAACTTATTCAAGTAACTGAGCATAGCGGTTCATATTTTTTCCAGTATAAAAGACTGTTTCAAGCAAATTCCTCAAAAACAGATTCTGCTATAAAAATATAATTCACAACAGTCACAAAGGTATATTTTTATGCTGTGGTTTCCTACTTTATAGCAAAATTATTTTCAAAACTCTTGAAAAACAACTCAACCATGGCAGCATGATCACGCAACACTTTTATATAAATGGAAGTTACGTAACATAGAATGTACCTATGGTCTGCACAAATAACACCACATACAGGGTCAGAACAAAACACTGTATGCACTGAAGCTGGCTCAGAGCTCATTCCAAACAGTTAATTCTCAACTCAAGCCCTTTCTCTGCACATGCTGCCAGCCATGTCAAAAGTAGGTCACTTGCCATATCTGGTAAGCCTGTGCTTACACCACCAGATGTCTTTATGCAGACATCAGAAACTCTTAAAGCACGCTCCATTCCTCAACGGCAAATCTATAAAATCCTGTACCTCACCCCTCCCTCATCAAGTCACTCCTAGACAAAAACGTATGAAACAACTATTTCTTTAGTTTCCCTTCGTGACACCTAGCAATTTTACATACTCCAAAAATAACACTGAAGTCACATATTTGAAGACAAAACAATGTCTCTTACGTTAACATATGTTCTACTCAAGCAAAAAATGTTACAATCAACCACCTGCCTTAAACTCATGAAATACCTCTAGTCCAGAGAACATATAATCCAAGAGAATAGATGCAGACTGCAACGCAGACTGGAACAGAAAACTGACAAGCAAACACCAACAAATGACAATCAGCCGGTTACTTTGCCGATTACAAAATCAGACATAACTGGCATATGCAAGTACACGTTTTCCATTTGCTCACAAGAAAGGTTAGGATTATACCTGTGTCGTCAGCCATAACATTAGTGCTCGATTTCCACAGACAGAGCGAGTGTGTCAGTATCTCCAAAAAAAAAAAAGGCAGAATAAGAAGCGATTTATCCTCACACCAGTCTTGCAACAGGAGCAAACAAGTTTCCTAAAGCCAGCTCAGCTGGAACCCGAAACTGGACCTAAGAGAAACCTCTCCTCTAAATCTATTTTTAGAGCAGTTATCCTCAGGAGCCAGAACTCATATGGCAATCTAGGTCTGACGACAATCAAATTCACTTACTCCTCCAAACAGAGCATCCTGGGTAGTTGATCCTTTCCCCTCCCCTTAATCCTCCAACATAAAAACAAGAGCAAATGAAACCGAGCACATTGTACTGTAGTATTTTTGCTGCAAAGCATGCCACAGTGCCTGAGCTCTAACGACATTAAATCCATGTGCATGAGCTGAAACACAAGTCTGGACACAAAGCTTGCCTGCTTGCATTTGTCAAGTTGGCCCCCATCCAAGAAACTTTCTCCGTGTTGGCACTCCTCTACCAGGCTTCCCGAGTAGAGACTGCTCATTTGGAACTTGCTAACTACTTTAAGAAAAAAAGAGACAACTAATTTCTATAACTTAGTTTAGAGTCATCAAAAACAATCACTTGAAACCAACCACGCACAAAATTGTCAAACAATTTTTGGATCTGAACTGTTCCCTGGTGCACATTGTATGTGCTTCTAGCATACCCAAAGAAAGGTTACTGATAGTTTTGCCAAAGGAAATGTTGTTTTCCTAGCGTGCAATATACTACATGCCATAAAATTAAACCAGGCAAGATTTCTATTGCTTATTCATTTTGGGTGGAAATCAGAAACAAACTCATTTCTCGTTCACAGCAACCCTAATAAAAACTTTATGATCTAGCACTCTGCCCTTCTTCCCCCACACTTCTTTAAATAACACAGCCATAAGGTAGATGAAGTGAACAGAAGAATGTTACAGCTACTTTGAAAAACAACATACACCTCCTGTGGTTTCAACATCCAGCAACTAATTGCCAAATGCAATTCCCAACAGCTCAAGGGAGAAAAAAAGTGAGAAAAAGCACCAGTTTAAGACTTATCAAATGGATGTAAAGGAACTATAGGCAGTTGATTCTATAACTAATCTATCTGTTTACTACCTTTAAAGCCACTTGAACACATAAAACAGACCAAATGCTTTAAGAAAGACATCTTGACTAGTACATTTTTGTAACTTACCTGATGCACAAGCAATTCAGAGCAAGACAGAAAGAAAACTTAAAGAGTAGAAGTTACCAAACATAAGGAGAAATCAACAGCTTAATTAAGGAAAACAATTTTACATGCAATGATATGTAGTCTATTGCATATAAACCATATCGTGTTTTGACAGGCATCAGATTAGGCAATTTGTTGCAATTTCACTTCAGCTGCACTTGCATTTGCAGACACCAGATCTTAGTACAAACGGATTCATAAAGCACTCAGCTAATGATGAGAATCTCAAGTCCATATAATACACGGGGAGATTGGTCTGATCTAGAACTTACCTGGCTGAATGCCCATAAATGCATAAGTTTTTGCTTCATGTCACTCAGACCTAAGTGATCACATTCCATCCAGTTACAACAGCATATTGCATAAAAGCAAGCCAAGTGGAGATAGTCAAGAAATTGATTCCAAATGTATAATCCAAATCTGACATTTAACCAAGTACCCACAGCTTTAATCTTGAGGCATTTAAAAATCAACTGATTGCAAGAATATGTCTTCCCAAGAAATTACAAACATCTTCCTGAAAGGGGAGGCTACAGCTGAAATGGGAAAACTCTTCAAACTAATCAAAAGGAAAATGGTCCAAGAGAAAGATGGACCAATGAACGACACAGCTGATTATACACCCCATGAACAATATACACTGTCATACACCTTGAAAAATACCAGTTATTCATGTATCTCCTGGAAT